ACCTCATGTAGAATACTTTGATGTGTTGTTTAGTAATATTCTCGTGGAGTGAGTGGCGCGGGCACATGAGGAGGGACAGAAGAAAAAGTAAATAGAACGTACACAGAATGTGTGAATATCGAAGGAACCACTAGTTCAACTTCATTTACGCACTCGTATAGGGTATATGGTTCGTAAAAGCTGTGCTATGCAACAGAAATAGGTTTAAGTATTTGTTGTATTGATATTTAAATGATATCAATACAATTTTAAAACGATGTTACCAGAATTACGTTCTCATGTCCCAACAAATATAAGCGTTATGAATATAACGATAAATTTTCCTAATAATTTTATAGTGGTAGTTGTGAAAGTTCCAAACAGCGCTTCGCGTTTTGTAATTAAAGTGATTTTCGATGTTTATTTCACTGTGAAATTTAACTATATGTAGAAGTTGTGAAAAGGCATTTTCATTAGGGAATTCACTCTAATTTGAATAAACACTGATTAAATATCATATCATGTATTCAGTCACCTACATATACTTAAACTGCCACATTCAATGACTGCTGGTGGACTGAATATCTTGAATATAATGAGTGTAACACAAAAACAAGATATGGACAGACTGGTGTTCGCTGCACCATAAAACAAAGTATTTAGTGTTTACGAGGAAAGAATTTGCTGGCCACAAACCAGACAGTTTTTTTTTATTCAAACCACACACCAAATACCGTCAATTGTATGATACAAGACGTCAATAGGACAACAACAAGTTGGCTAGTGTAATGCAGAATACGATGGAAAAGGGAGAAATAATGGGAAAAAACAATCACAGAGTACACAAAACCACCCAAGTACAGCCATGTCCATTCCATAATCATGGCAATAAATTGTTTGATTGTTCTGCCACTAAGCGTACGTGACAAACCGAGACGGCAAGTATCCACGTAGAATCGTGACGTTGAACTGTAAGGTCGCATAAATGCACGCCATTGTGGAATACAATTACAACGAAAATTAATTAATTTCGACAAAGAAATTAATTAATTTCGATTAAAAATATGTGCCATGATTATATGATAAATCGGTTATCGCCCAATATCGGCGTTTGGTGTGGTCGTATCGCCGCTCGTGTTATTTGAGCAGCATCACACTCGTCGAAGACGATAGGATCTCACCAAGCGTCGATACTGAGCAATGACCTCATCATATTGTGAACACGTACATACACTTCACATTCTGAGGCTACGCGTGGCGGAAGTCAACATGAATTTGACTGATTGTAAATCATGATGTACAACCTTGTATTTCATTTTTCCGACAAACTGCAAAATTTGTGAACAATTATCCAGGTTTTATTAACTATTGTTTTTGATCAATATGGACCAAGTTTATATCTTCGAAATGAATCAACGATGGAAATATATCAAGATGCGGTTATTGCCGATGTACAAACTAAAACCTGTTTATTGTAGAAGGCGTTGAGCGTAAACTATTTTTTAGGTATTTTTTTCCACCATGTAAAAAACAAAAACAGGACGTGAATGATGTCTTGGCAAAGTAGCACCACCACGACTAATATTCAGACAACGATTGTCCATTTCATTTTGGACTTACCGCTGGCTCGTTGGAAGAAAATTTTGCATGACCATATTCATTGCAAAGGGTTATTTTTGTGTCATAGACACTCCTCAAACTCATGTCGACTAAGCGATTCTGACATTGCTTCCAGGGTTTCTAATATTTACACATATTACTATTGTGATTTTAAAAACGGTTAGAAATGTTGAAAGGGAATGTCATTTAAAGCGATTTTCCTAGCGATTTCCGTTAACTGAGAGCTTATACAATATTGCATAACGCCAATGTAATTATCTTTATTCATATTGATTCGTTATTTTCGCTTTGAGTCACAGTATTGTTGAATTCCTTTTAAATTACATGTACTCCAATGGTAAACTACCACAACCTTGACAATGTTACTAGTCAGACTTAGTACTAATGTAAGAGTGAACACACTTAAAAGTAAATACCTACAAACGCCTTATCAAGTTATTGAACTATTGTGTTGCGAAACGATCCAAAATCTTTAATATTCAAAGCAAATTACCCACTGAACTGTGAAGGTTGTCTTAATTTACCGGAATCAAAATGCTATGTGAAATAACAAATCTATGAGTTTTAAGTAATAGTGTAGATCGGCCTATGGCTTCGGGAAATTAAATTTATTTTTGACTCACAGCGCATCTAGAAAACCGACAACTGTTCTATGGGAACCAGTGGCTATGTATAAAATGGTGTAAATGCACTGTTTACAAGCGAACGGCGAGAATAAGAGAACATCGTCGTTGGTGGCGCAGTCACGGCGCATTTGCAATTCATAGGAAAGGAATACGGATTGACCGATGTTAAAGTTCAAACGTTTTATTCGACGTGGGATACCCGCCATATTAGCACACTGTTGTGTTTTACTTTCACAGTATGGAGGAGGAAAATGGTAAGTTCAAAGCGGCCACCATAACTAGATTTGCAATGAAGTGTCAGGGACAAGTTACACGAGACAATTCGCAACGTATCGAGCACGGCGTGAGGCTTCAAGAATTACCTAGTGTGTGTGGTATAATTGCGACGCGAAAGTGGGTCAGGCAAGGCAGCCGGGAAAAGCTTCATGTCGTGTTTTCGGGCAACCATTTACCAGTCGCAACAGCCAGTGGCCTTATACAGTTCGTTGTATGTTGACCTTTTTTAACCTTTGTCCGCAATTGACACTCCCTGCTGTTTGTTTTCAACAACTCGGACCAGAACAAATTGTTTAGACTTGTGGTTAATAATTTATCGTAGTATAATATAAGGTTCGCTACACATATTACACTGGGTGTCAAAATGTTGGGCAAAATTAAAGCTTTCAAGATGTAAATTAAATAATATATAATATATTACATGCAATCTTTGTGATTTATAAAGAAAATGTAGTATACTATATCTGCATGCATCTAGCTTTCTTAATTTGAATTTAAGGAGAAGCTGCACCTGTATAGGTATCACACCGTTCTAACGTTATCTGAACAGTTAATTCAGTTTTCTAGTTCAATGAAACTGAACCATTTCTAATATTTACCATACTTTTCAAGTGTACCTAATAAATGAACAATGAGCTTTATTTCCCACTAAAACTTTTTCAATATCTAACTTATCTATATTTATTTGCCTTACTCATTTCTGTAAATTAAAGTTTTAATGATCGGACATTGCTTATTGTTCATTGTGTGGAGCAACACGACAAAAAATTCGATTTATGTACAAACATTTAGATCTGTAAATTAGTATCCATTTAAAAATAGATGGAACGCTCATCAAATTAACTTATCAAAGTATATAATATTTTAACATCGATTTAAATTGCACAGAAAAGAGTGGGCATTACTGTATTATTATGACCAAGCACTAAGCGAATGAGTCGCCTTATAAATTGCCCCCTGTAACACGATCTTCAGAGTCTCCATTATCGATTTAAATTTCAAACCACGGTTTTAAGTTTCACCGTCACGTTGGTCATTTATTCGACTGTCACCTGTATGAAGTGCGCTCTCTTTGATTTTTTATCGATATAATTAATTATATGAAGTAAATTTATTACTATGTATAATGCACGTACTGGTTGTATAACCATTAAGGGACACATTATATGTGCTTGCATATATGTGTTACGATATTGTCGTACCATGATTAAGGTTATGTCATTATGACAACATTTGTACTGATGAATGTAACAATATTGTAGCTGTGACATCATTTTTTCCCTAAATTTCAAGCACATATCAACTATGGACGACTGAAACTGAAATGACAGTTCAAACTGAAAATACAGTTGATCAGTGTCCACAGCAAAATATCTGTCTACATCACCTGATTTAAATGTTGCGGACAAAAGTGGCTTCCCAGCATGTCTCAAAAGTACTGAAACAATATGTTTGAAATAACACAAATAATTTGATTCACAATTTACCCAGAAGAGTGCTTATCATTCACTAAAATGTTTAAAGACGGAATTACATAAATTGATTACTCACATTGAATTAAATGTAATATAGTTTGTGATTATTGGACACTGAATTTATGCTAAGTTTCTATTGTTGTCCATAGCTGTCAATAGTTAAAATTCGATAATATGCAATGTGTTATGTCATGAAATTGTTCTTTGTGCAAGTCGAAAAAGGATGTGTCTTCAAACTTGCATCACTACCAGTTGATAATTTCTTGAAGGTATATATGGTGTTTTAGTCATGGTGATTCATGTTGTGTGTACACTTAGGGTTGTGCATAAAAGCAGTTTATGCGGAATTTATCGATTGATACTTTTATTTTGTTTTTCAGATGATGTGGAAAACGATATGGATACAACAACACTGATACCTCCAAGTGGCACTGACAGAAGCAAGCAAAATTGGAAAGTTCGTTTGAAACGTATAACACTCACGACACGTGTTATATTCGTAGTGGCAGTCTGCATTTTTACTGTTGCATGCTTAATTTACTTTCTACATGGTGAAAGTCAGAAAGGTTTGTTGTATTATTATTGTTTTTTTTCAGAAGCACAAAACAAAATTCATGCTGTATATCTATGCATACCTGATAATCCATAGCTCACAAATACACTTCAATTTGGTTCAACTTTGTTCCTGCATTGGATAAAAACTTTGTGCTTGTACAACATTATTATTAAATTAACATTTATTGTAACCTGCCTGTGTTGTTCAAATCTTAATGACATTTAACATGTGTTAACACTCTGTGGGACAGACTATATTATTGGGACAACTCTCTCATCACTTCCACATAACATACAATTGTCTATGTTCGCCATATAATTTTCTCTGCAAGCCCAGAAAATCTAATTTAATGAAGGTTATATAGTTATTGCGATATGGGATTGATTTCACTAATTCATATGATTGACAATCATTCAAAGAAAGAAGATTTACATCGCCTACGGAACACAAAGACCTAATTCCAGGCACAATAACTACATGTCATACGTTTAAATATATAAACTTCATATACGGGCTTGTTATTAGGATATGACAAATTTCAATCTGAATACATAATTTTCAATGTCGTTATATTTCATCTCTAAATATATGTATCTGTATAGCATCACGGAATTGAAAGAACAGTACTGTTAAGGTCAAAACAAATTTGCTAAAGATTTCATTTCCCGTGCAACCATCTTGGTGCTCATAAATTCCGGCATAGTAGTTTTATTTTGCATTCCACAAAACTACAGAAATTCTAAAACCGATTTTTTTTCTGTGTGTCATCTTTAGTATTTCGGCTGGCAAGTTACTATGGTGACCATATGGTTCTACAAATGGAGCCACATCATTCAATAATCTGGGGATATGGAGAACAAAATTCAGACATTGAGTTGAATTTGAATGGAACAATTTA